TTGACCAAAAAGTGACAGTCCAAACTGGGGCAAGGGGAGCCAGACTCTTCCCTAGCACTGGCTGGGCTCCATGGCTATCCAGAAAGTTTTAGCAGACACTTTATAATAAGTCAGTCATTTCTTTTCCAGACTGGATAATTACACATGTATAGAGACTCTTTTATCCAGGAGTTCAGTGACTTCCCATGTGACTGAGGGACCACAGGAGAAGGGAAAGGAACACCAGGCTGAGAATCAGCAAATCTGGGCACCATTCTCGGCTCAGCCATACGAGATCTTGAGCAAGTCATTCCTCACTAGAAGAGGCCTGGTGGTTCTAACTGGGGTGGGGGTGTGCATGCACAGTAGAACCTCTAGGGTCTTTTTCAAATTATTCCCCCCTGCCCCTATCAGCAGAGTCCCTGAGTGTGACAGTTAATGCACTTGGCTGCTAACTGAAAGGCTGGAAGTTCCAGTTCACCTGGAGGCAGTGTTGAAGAAAGACCTGATAATCTACTTCTCAAACACCAGCCATTGGAAACCCTACAGAGCACAGTTCTCCTCTGACACACATGAACTTACCATGAATCAGAATCGACTCAATGACAACTGGTCCTGGTGCTGTACTGTCCCCATCAGCAGGGTAAGGGGAGTCATTGCTGATGGCCATGTGCCACATGCATGAGACAAATGCCTCTCTGGACAGATGGCTCCCATGGCAGAAGCTAAAAGGCCCAAACATTTGCCCTGCTAAACCATCAAGGGAGTTTTGCTCACTCAAGCACATTATTTCTTACAACAAAATAAAAAGCCAAATAGTCCTCAGTCATCACTGGGCAAAGACTATCATGTTCTCTCATGAAGAGTGCAGGTCCCCCAGAAAAGTGCCACCAAAAAAAGTGTTCTGAGTGATTGAACAGAGACTTTATCTCAGACGGAAGCGCCAAGAAGAATCAGGGGTCTAATACTGACCCCCAGTATTAGAGAAGATGTTGGTGGAGTGGTTTCTCACTTTTTTAGTAGCTCAGCCTTGAACTCCCTTCCTGGGCTGGGGCGTCCTTCCTGTGTGAGCCTTGGGGTGAAACAAGTTTCTCTTGCCCACTACCAAAGACAAAATTGCCAGTGACCTGCTCTTCTTTAGGTCCCCTCGCAGCCCAGGCACAGTTGGCAAGATTCTCCTGCCCAATTCCAGAGCAAGAGACAAAGAGAAGCCAAGGACAAGTGTGTCCAGTGTCCAAGGCCAGCTGAGGCAGCCAGGCTACCACACACTAGGCTCTTCCTGTGGCCTGCCAGCCTGTGGTCCTGGCCCCTGGGGTCCTTTGACTGCTACTACATCCCCAGTCTGGTTTTCCAGGTGTCCTGCCAATTCTTAGAGCTGTGAGATATCTTTCCAACCCAGTCAAATTCTGCTGAAGTGAGGCAGAGGTGGTCTCCTCTGTTTTCAACTAAGATCTTTGCCTACTGTAAGCTCCACATAGCAATGACTTACTTATTCACTGGGATATGCTACCTGTGGATGGATCATGTTATCCATAGATTTTTGTTATTTTAAAATATCAAGAAAATCCTTGTGTGATTCATGCCAGCTTCTCATACAAACTGAAGGTGGTGGTGGCTTGGGGTAGCTGGGAGGATTCTATAGACTCTTGGTTTGTTCTGGGGGAGTTTTCTGGCCTCGGTTGTTGGTAGTTCTCTTTAAAAATATGGGTTACTTGCTAAATCTTTGTCCTCATCCATGGGCTCCAATGGCCAATCCAGAAAGCTTACATTAATATCTTCTGAAGTCTAACCATGACTGTGTGAATAGGCTCCAAATGACTCTGGACCATCATATTTTCTTTCTATAATAACCTTTTTGAGATGAATTCTTTTTCTTTATGAGGACAAGCTTTCCAGGGCATGATCAGCTATATTCTCTTTATAATTGTGTGGACCCCTCCCCATACTTTCTTTCCTTTTCTTCCCTCCTCCCCCACCTCACTCCCTGAAAAGTAAGAAGACTTGGGCTAAATTATGAAATTTAACATATTATCAGTACCTCCCAATCAGCACCTTGATTCTCTTCTCACAAAAATCTCACCTGGAATGATCAAGTCTGGATACAAAGCCAGGTAAACTCAGGATAGTTGGTCTTGGACACATGCTAACACCCCACCTGGGAAGTACCTTGAATATATTTATTGATAGACAAGGGAAATACTTCAAGAATCTACTAAATATTTCTAGGTATTTGTCCAAATTCTCTGTAACAAGTATTACTTATACCATAGCATAGAAATGAAGACATGGAAAACTACAGGAAAACAGTTTGATTTTCCTATCAGTTAAATTTCTCACCATGTACAACTGACGTGATTAAAAATCTAGGTATTGTTTTCTTCTTGTCACCCACACCCTGCTTGATACCAGCTGCAAATAAATTTCCTGTTCATTGCAAGGCCATAACAATTTGGTACCTAATCTAAAATCTTGTGAAATTTTGCCTGATTTCAGTTTGGTGGCTAGCCCTCTGTGGAAATTCCCTTCAGATGGACAGTTGACGGAGAGCCAGGCACTGAAACAATGATGCAGGAAAGAACGTGTTTGTTCTAAAAAGGCAAACCTTCCTACTCAGGAAAAAAAAAAAAATTCTGCCTGGATAGTTGAGAGCAGTTTACAGAACTTCATCTTAACTCATGGGTTGAAAAGCCAAGTCATGGAAACAAGGGACAAGGGGGCATTCTGGGATTCTGATGTGTTTAATTTTTTCTCAGGAGTACGGGGGAAAAAAAAAGTTGAAACAAGAGTTTCTGCCCAAGAACTCTTGATAATGAAAATACCACCACTGTATCCAAAATGAAATAGTAATTAATGGAAGTGGTATTTTGGGAGAGTACAGATGACTTAGAACACAAAAATGGGATGTCAAGTGATGTTTTCCTGGATCCCACAGTTTAGTCTTCTAATAGAAGGCAATATTCCCAGTGATTTTTTCCCCCCATCTACATAGGGATTTCACCTGTAGAGAACCTGTTAATTATTTCCACTAGCTCTGAATTGGAAACACTGTGATCTATTAGAATATTCCAAACATTTCCTGTTGGGCAGATAATTCATTCTATAAAACTTTTAAATCAGAACTATTCCAATGAACAATAGGAGCTATGATGTCGTGGTGGTTAAAGCATTGGATTGCTAACCAAAAGGTTGGTGGTTCAAACCCACCAACCATAATGCAGGAGAAAGATGGGGCAGTCTGCTTCCATAAAGATCTACAGCCTTGGAAACCCTGTAGGGCAGTTCTGCTTTATCCTATAAGGTCATTATGAGTCGGAATCGACTTGATGGCAGTGGGTATGGTTTTATGCCAATGAGCAGCAAACCACTACTCACTTCCCTGGTAAAGTTTTGAATTAGTAGTTAAAAGGCCAAGGGCAGGGAGGAAAAGGCAAAAGCCAACTCCAACTATTTGACCTGTCAGAAAAGTTGGCCTTAAGTAGTGAAGGGCTCTGGCATTGTTCCATTTAATTCCGTTCAGTTTCTATTATTAAGATGACTACTTGGACAATTTCTGGATGTGAATGGAGGGGTGAAGGTCCCCATTTGACATTCTTTTGCTGCACTGAGTATGGAAAGCCTAATCCTTTGTGTAGATTTAACATCCCTCACCTACTCTGAGCATTCATATTCATTCCTCACTGGCTGATATTCTCATCTCTTGCTCAACAAAAATAGAAGCAGGACTGAAATATTATTGAAGTACCCAAGGATTTATTTTCTATATGAATCCTTCCCATCCAGGGTCTTGTAAGAGTGAGCTCTGGTTGACTCCCATCCTGATAATTAAAAATTTCAGAACATCATCACCCTAGCTGACTCCTTTGTTATTAATTGGCGTCAGGTCAATTCTGATTCAGGGCATCCTATGTGTTCCAGAATAGAACTGCTCCACAGGGCTTTTCTTGGCTGTAATCTCAAGAGAAGGAAATAGCCAGGCCATTTCTTCTGTGGTGCCAATAGGTGAGTCTGAACCACCAACCTTTAGGTCAGCAGTGGAAAGTAAACAGTTTGTGTCACCAAGGACCTTTCCATCCTGACATTTAGATGTGTGGCATCTCCACTGCGATCAGAAAATTAATTAACCATCTTTTCTTTGTAAGTAATTATTCTGTACTAATTTATCGCTTTTGTAAATTTGTCACAACAACAGTCTACATTGACTCTTCCAAGAGAGAGTAAAAGATCCCTTGAGAGAAGGTAAATTCCAAGGAAGAGGATGCAAAAAGATAGCATCATGGCATGGCATGGCTCGTTGGCAAATGCAGTTTATCTGTTGCTCCTTCCCTTTTCTATTCACCCAGGATCTGAGAATGTGGGTGCCAAACAAAATATAAGCATTTCCACCCCGCCATGAGAACAACAATAAATGGCAGTAAACTTCCACAACATACCTTCCCTCGGCCTCTCCAAGGCCCCCACACCCCCATATCCAAGCCTCTTGGTTCACTTTACCCCCCACGTCTGAGGCATGAGTGCCAACCCCAGTTTAGGGAGGAGGACAAGGGAGTATGTAGAGAATGCAAGTGAAGTTTCTAAGGCTTGGTCATTTGCATGTGACCTCTGTGAGTTATTCAAACAACGTGTTTTGAAACACTCAGTGTTTATCCGTGGGGCAGTCTGATTGGAAGCCAGATGAGGTTTCAGGGAAAGGTCTGAGGAAGATAAAAATAGTTCTGGCTTCAGAATGGAGATCCAAGCCTTGTCAAGGGTTACTTCCAGATTATTTTTCCTTTGGCCAGCCACAGCAGGGTGCTTTCACACCAGGGTGGGCATCCTAAGGCAAAATGCTATCACAATAACAGGAAGCTGCAGAAGTTCCCTATGGGGACCTGGAGGCCAAGGCAGGCATGGTTTTGTTGGTCTTACCACAAACCTGACATCTTGGCTTGGAGACTGTCTTTACTCTCAAATTCCATCCAGCTCCAAGTCCCCCAGCTCCCTTCACCCTCTGAGAATGGCTGTCCCAGAGGTGACCAACTCACCGTCATCTCTTCTGGATTCCCATTGGCTATCTCCACCACCCTTAGGGAAGGATCCACCTTCACTTTGGCTCGGGTCATAAACTGGATGACAGATGAACTGTCCTGTGGAGGAGACAACACAATTAGCTGTAAGATTTTTCCATCAGTAAAATGGCTGGGCTTGAGCTATCAGGCACAAGTGAAATTCTGAGATTTCATGTAGAACATCCAAAAGAAGAGACACATTTTATCACTTAATGAATTATTTCTCCATCCTAGACACCTAAACAAAACATACTAACCAGTTACCATAGAGTCAATTCTGACTCATGGTAACCTCATGTATGTCAGAGTAGAACCATACTCCATAAGGTTTTCAATAGCTGTTCTTTTTTTTTTTTTTTTAATTAGATGGCCAGGCCTTTCTTCCAAGGCACCTCTGTGTGGACTCAAACCTCTTACTTTCTAATTATCAGCTGAGTATGTTTACTGTTTGCACCATCCAGGGATTCTACGTAAAACACAGATTTCTAGTTTCTCTCTCAAGAATTCTTTCATATCATGATGCTTTCTAAAAAACTGTAGTTTTGCCAGTCATCAAGACATGCAAGCTTGTGTGTTGTTATTTCCAAGCAGTGAGAGCCAGATATCTGGATATTGGGTATTACCATATTCACAAAAAATTGAGAATAAATAAAGATGTTTAATTGCAGACAATAAATCCAGGCCTGGCACTCCACAGAAGGCATCTGATTTACATTTTTAAGTATCTTTTGGCCTGACCACAACACTTAAACTTTCCACATGATATGTGTGTGTGTGTATTTAACTCTTTTCTCTTTAATTAAGTTGTTCTGGAGTCAAAGTCATTTAACAACAAAAGAAAGTTCTTAGGGAGACATGAGAAGGGAAAAGTACATGGTTAATAAATGAAAAAATGTGGATGTGAAAAGCAATGGCTTAAAGAGAGAGGGGAGTCCCCAGGTGAGGCAGATGGTTAGCGTGCTCAGCTGCTAACCTAAAGAATGGTTTTCGAGACCAACCAGAGCCACTGAAAACCCCAGGTAGCACAGATCTACTCTGACACACAAGGGGTCATCATGAGTCAGTCGACTTGATGTTAACCGGACTAAGAGCACATCTGAGACTCAGGAAGAGTTGATCAGCCAGGGGCAGTTAGTAGCCTTGGCACGTGCTCAGGTTCAAAGCCACTGTTCCAGATAACTAGAAAATGGCTCCAAGGCAGGGATAGGAAAGGAATTTGCAAAAAGACAGGGGTTGGCAGAAATATGGCCTAGAGAAGTGCCAGAACCTTGAGCCAGTGGTACAGATGGTGCCATACTGATGGTAGTGTGCAGATGCTGCCTGGCTGCCATGGTGGAAACAATGGGCAGGCACTTAGAGCACTCAGTGTTCCCCCTGCAGGGTACCTGGGCCTCTGCCTGCAAGGTGCCCTGTGGTATAGCCACCCGCATTTACTCTATTTGCCTGTCATACACAGAGGTTTGGGCTCACATACCAGCTTTGACCTACTTCTGGTTAAACCTACCACAAACGATGAAAGTGGAGAGCTCACCCCATAGAAAACAGTCTCAGTGGGGCCTTTCACCAGAGAAACCACAAGGACCTTCCTGGGGTGACACATGGGGATCCTGCTTTACATACATTACCTGGGAGTTACTCATGACTCATAGTTCTTTTTCAAAAGATTTTTAAATGCTTCAGGAGGCTTGTCATTCAATGGAACTGCTCTAGTTAACGCATGTGAAGCAGTAAATGATTTTGGATACAAATAATCTTTTACCAATTTATAAGTTGTATAAACTTGTGATTTTATGTGTCAGAATATACTGTATTTTCTATCTTGTTTATTAATCATTATCACTGTCAGCATCACTTTGGATATTAATAATAATAGTGATGATAATGGTGATGACTGCCAAATTTAAAGGCCCCTGTGGTTGAGGACTCAGTGAAGAAAGCTTTGAAGTCTGGAAAAAGCACACATTTTTTTTTTTTTTCCCAAAAGATCTGAATCCTCTGATGATTTTAAAAATCAGATCCTACACTTCAAATAAAAACCTGAGGTCAAAACAATGAAACCTCAAATTCCCTTGCCTGGGGCCAGACCTTGAGGTCAAAAGGAAAATAAACACAACTCTAGGCCTAGGCAACCACAAGGCTGGCACTGTTCCCCATCCTTAGGGAGTCTGGCTTCCAAGCTGTTCCCTTCCTTGTCTCCCAAGGGAGATCCTGTCTGGCTCCAGGGGGCACTGGCACTACCTTCCACTCCAGGAGCAGCTCCTGCCCCATCTTCCAGGTCAGCCTCATTCTAGGCTCTTCTCAGCACCTGGAATTTCTGCTGGTTTCTGCTGAAAAGGCACTCAAGAGAATGATCCTCTAACACCCACACATGACACCCATGGCTTATATTTCTTTTTGGCTGGCCTCCAGTGAACTGTTGGCCCAAGGGGAAAACAGTTAGGAGAGCAATTCCTTGGCAAAAGGTCAACGCTGGTGAGACAGATGGAGGGAGGGAGGGAGGGAGGGACGGAGAGAGAGAGAAAGAGAGAAATAGAGAGAGAGAGAGGCAGGCAGAGGAATCAAGCCACAGAGTTGTGCACAGGGAAGTTCTGATGCTTTATGTCTAAGTGTAAATGACCAAGGTACAAGCAGCAGCCATCTTGGCTGAGAGAAAAGGAGAAATAAGAGTGAGTTCCTACCATTAGGGTTCTGCCGACAGTGGCAAGAATGACAAGGAAAATAAAACTGTCAGCAGTGCCATTTGTAAAGAAGACGAGAGGATGAGTGGGTATGTAGAATCAAAGTCCCTCCAACCTGACGTGGGATCAATGCCAGGAAGGTACTTCCCGTGCCGTGGGACTTCCAGACCAGACCCCCTTCTGGAATCGCAGGAAGGCCAATGGTGTTCCGATTCACTCTTGGTTCTCTCCCAACACTATCCTTTGTAAAGGGAGAGGTACAACAGGAAAGAACTGCTGTGGGATGCAATTTTCCCTAAACCAGTTTCTCTCCAAAGCAAACACTAGACACTAGAACTGGGCTCAGGTCTCCATGGGTGTGAGGGGATCCCGTATCTCCAAAGCTGTGTGTTCTCAGGTCAGAATGGTGCTGCCACGCCTGATTTAAAAAATAACCATGGAATGGCTTCCAGGAATATTCATTCACATACTAACAGGTTTACAGGGACTACCACATTTAATCTTTCAAAGGAAAATAAATAGACTCTCTGTGGCTAACACCAATTTTGTTTTTTCTTCATATGTAATTATTTTCATAGCCTCTTCTTGGAAGTGGTCTCTCATACTCAGCAGTTCTTAAAATAAATCAAGGGAAATCTGTATGATTCTTCAAGGGCTACCAATTCACTAACTGAAGTATTTTTTATGAACCATATTTGATAAACCCATAACAGCAGAGTGATCTGAGGTTCAACAGTTGGCATTTCCTGAAACAAGGTAATATCTAAACATGGGGTTAGCAAACTAGACTCTCAGGCTCAATCTGGCCCCCTGCTTGTTTTGTAAATAAAATTTTATTGGAATACAACCATGCCCATTTGTTTGTATATAATGGATAGCTGGCTTAGAGCAATAATAACAGAGTTGAGCACTACAGATTTTAAAATAATTACTATTGTGCCCTTTAGAGAAAAAGTTTGCTAACTCATGATCTAAAATGTGTTCCCTGGACCAATAGCATCAGCCTTACTTGAGAAGCTGTCAGAAATGTAGCAGCTCAGACTCCATCCCAGGAATTTGTGTTTTAACAAGAGTACCAGGTGATTCTGATACAAACTTAAGTGTGAGAAACTTAAATGTGCAAACAGAACACCTGGGGAGCTTGTTAAAATGAAGATGCTGATTCAGTACATCAGGTGTGGAGCCCAAGATTCTGCATTTCTAACAAGCTCCCAGATGATGTTGATGCTGCTGGTCCTTGGACCTCACTTGGAATAGTGAGGGGCTGGTATTTTCCCCTGGCACCTTCTAGCAGCAGAATTACCAATAGCAGTGGCCAGGAAAGTCTTATAGGGGAAAATCCAGAGCTTGATGAGGAAACCAATTCAAAATGCTTTTAAGTGTACCCTGAGCATGCAGTTCCCCATGACTGACCTTTTTCAATATTTCTGTGTTTAGCAGCATGTAAACGTGGACAGTACGACTTTCTTCTTTAGCAATCGCACTAAGGTTACAGTGCACTGTTAGGCAAGACATTCCAGGTTTTTCACAGTCCTAAGAAGAAAAATTAGAGAACTGTCAAATGGTATGAAGAACAGAGACAAATCCACAGCAATTCATAAAGCAATGGCCTCCATGAGTTTCGATTTTCCCATTGACTATGAGTCGGGGCCGACTCGACGGCACATAACAACAACAACAACAACAAAGGCAACACTAAACTCACTGTCGTGGAGTCAAACCCAACTTGGGTTTCCAAGGCGGTATCATTATGGAAGTAGATTGCCCAACCTTCCTTCTGAGGAGTGGCTGGTGGGTTTGAACCTCCATCCTTCTGGTTAGCAATCAAATGCCTTAGGCACTATGCCACCAGAGCTCCAAAGGCAACACAAAAATTGATAGGAAGATGTAATCATTCCTTCTTGTCACCAGAGGGCGCGCTAGGGATTTCCCACTCAGAGCATGCCTTCAAGACAGACATTCAAGGGACTGAGAGAAAGTTGCTCGGTCAGTTAATTCTACCAGAAAAAATTGATTTCATAAGGAAGAAGAAAAAAAAAAAAAAAAAAAACAACTTCTTTTTCAAGAAGAAAGCCATGTATATTTTCCAAACATTATTCTTATGAGTTTTGAACACAGATCTGTTTCCTACATCATTATGTAATTCTTGCCTATGCAGTGGCAAATACGCTTTTCATGCCTATTTTTTTAAGCGGGGCAAATTATAGGCTAAGGAACTAAAGAAACACAATCAAGATAAGGGGAATAGAGGCTTTGAAGAAAATATTATGATTCTATCTTCAATACCTTCACTTATTTTTTAAATTTAGGTATACCTTACATACAGTAAGCAGAACAAATCTTTAGTGTACATTTTGATACATTTGTATGTGTTCATACTGGGGAACCATCATTCAGATCTATTGTCATAGATTACTTTTGCCTATTTTAAAACTTCCTATAAGTGAAATCTTATGGTATGTGTCCTTTTTTCCTCTGGCTTTTTTTACTCAAATATGTCAATGAGTTTCAGGCACGTTGTATGTGGCAGTTTTTTTTCTTTCCATTTTTCATTCCTGTGTAATATTCTAGTACAAGGAAACACTATAATTTGTTTACACATTCTCTTTTTGATGGACATTTGGGCTGTTTCCAGCTTTGAGCTGTCATGAATAACACCGCTGTTGAACATTGTTGTCCATGTTCTTTTGGGACACAAGTGCTCATTTCTCTGGCACCCAGGAGTGGAATTGCTGGGTCATAGGGTATATATACACTTAGTTTTAGTCAATACTGAAACTGTTTCTAAAGTGGTTGTACCAAAAACTTTACTCTTGTTTAGACTCAAACTAGTTGGAGTAACTTTTTACTTTGTGCTTGGTGGATTGCAAAAGTTTCTATTTCCAGGCCTGGAGTTTGGAATGCAAATTTAATCCCTGATCAAAACCTCAGGCTGAGAAATAGGAGCCGACTACAGTCTTTGTGACTTTATAAGTCAACTGATTAAAACCACATTTGGGAAATAATAAATGCCAAATAGAAAACTGACCCTTCATCCCATACTTGCCTTCCTACTGAGGACCACCCATGTCACCACAACCACTAAGCAAATTCTTACCAAGACTTTTCTTCCAGATTTTGTGAAAAAAGCAAATATTGTGTGGAAGATATTTTCTTGTTCTTGAGGAATGATGCATGGGGTTGGATTTTTCTGGAAAGAGCAGTTTCCCTTCTCTTGGCCTACCTGGAAATGAAAAGAGGTCTGTCAGAGTGGTCAGTCCCAAGAATGAACCATGACCCTGGACTCATCATTGTAGAGGTGGTAGCCAAACCAAACCAAACCAAACTCAATGCTGTTGAGTTGATTCTGACTCATAATGTCCTAGTAGAACTACACCCTAACGTTTCCAAGGCTATAATCTTTATGGAAGCAGACTGCTACATCTTTCTCCTGCAGAGTGGCTGGTGGGTCCAAACTGCTGACCTTTTGGTTAGTAGCTGAGCACTTTTAACCACTGTACCACCAGGGCTCCTTGAGGTGGTAGCAGTAGAGTCTAAATTAAACTTTTTTCCCTTGTCCATTCTCCAGTGGAAAATAATGGCTGAAAAGCTGGAAGGCAGAAGTTATAGCATTAACAGAGCCAAGGAGTAGAAAATGTGGATCCTATCTAAGTCCCAAAATAATTAAGATGGCACATAAGACGCAAATGAGATATGACCAGGAAATGGTATGAGTGAAGAACAAAATAAACCTTATGCTTTATGGTGTCTAAAGCACATTAACAAATGTCCTTATAGCAACTCTCTCAGACAGTCATTGATGCTCCTTGTCCAGATCAGAAAACTAAGATTCATGTTCAGTCATTTGCAGAAAATCAGAGTCAAGAAGTGAGGGAGGTATGTCTGAGACCAAACCTTACGTATGGTTCATTGCTGGTGGCTTCCAAACTCTGTTCCATGGAACCCCTAGGATGCTGTAAACCCCTAGGAGGCCCCAGAAGGAGGGAGAAATGGCATCATGCAAGACTGCTCTGGGCTCCCATCTCTGCTCCAAGTAGAACATTAACCACATATGATGTCATTTAAAGCCAGGGTTCTGCTACCAAACAAACAACACCTTGGATAGCCACTGCACTTAGCCACATAGAAACGTATACTCCTAATGAGCTTTTGGTGAACTGACCAATTTTGCATCTGACAGTAATGGCAACAGAGCAGAGCAACAGGAGACAAAATGATGGTCTACAGTCTAAAAGCACAGTCTACAGCCTTCCAAGTTGATTTCTTTACGAGCAACACTATTTTTGATGCCTAATTTGAGGAACTGTTGAAAAAGCTAAGTCTTTATACCTCATCATATCACACTGGTCAAAGCAGAAATTTGAACAGGATTTAAGGTTGAGCCACAAAATTAACAATAAATAATTCATGATTTAGGACTGTGTTTCCAATCCCATTTCTAGACAGAATCATCTGTTTAAACGAAACTCTCCCGCCTGTGGTGATCCTGAGTGAAACATAGCATGTTTGTGGCTTATTCAAGAATGTTTCAACTTCTTATTTATGTTAGGGAGCAAAGTTTAGTTAATATTTTATATAAAGAAACTTCTAACTTTAAGCAACAATGTTAATCAGTTAATAATGGCCTGTAAAACAAGATACACACTCCCTCCCCCTCGCCCAATTTGCTAAATAAATTTGTTTTATTCTTGGCCTGAATACATTCCAGGATTTACTATATATGCCTGCAAATAAATAAGATGGTTTATTTTCCAAAATTAACTATTAGAAAAGAGGGTGTTACTTAATATTGTCCTTTAAAAGTCTCATAATTTGGGACTCTCACAATTACTCTACCTGAACTACAAAAATTGGGGTGGCAAGCCAGCCTGAAATGATCTTAATCAGTGTTGATTTGGATGCCTTTAAAGGAACTGATGCAAAGGAGGCAATCAGATATAAGGCTGATTTGCTGATTATTCCTGGGCTGCAATTATAAATTGTGATAAATACTCAAAAGCTCATTAGTTTGTTTTAGAAAGCAACATGGAGTAGCTTATGTGGTGGGGATGATGAATAGTTACTTATTAGAAAAATGAAAAAAAAAAAAAAAAACCTGCTGCAATGTTATACAAATGGGTATTTGTACATTTCAGCATTAAACAACATCAAAGGTGGATTCAAAGATAAACTAAAGATGATATGCTCTGGAAAACTGTTGACTCAAAAATGGCTTAGGAATGATAGACATTGATCTCAAAAGGTACACAACTGAATAACATTTCAGGAAAAGTGAGAGTGCAAAAGGGCATTGTTATAAAATGATTATGTTATTCTTGCATGACTTTAGATATGCAAATACATGATTAAGTTAACTATTATAAGTAGACAGTTGCCATTAATTTTTCTTTTTTTAAAAAAATTGAGGTAAAAATTTACATTTGTGAAAGTGCCCAGATCTTAAGTGTATATAGTTTGATGAATTCTGAGAAATGAAAGCACCCACATAACCACCACCTCAGTGAAGGTACACAACATGTCCATCAAGCCAGAAAGTTCCTTCTAGCCCTTGTCCAGCTAACCCCCCACCCCTACCCCCAAGGGGGGAAAAAAAAAGTTTGCTAAATTTATCTTATTAGGGAAGTGGAGGGTGTGTTATTTGGACACTGCCTTATATTTGTGAACCTACCTAAGGAATTTGACTGCTAACCAGAAGGCTGGCAGTTCAAACCCACCAGCCACTCCTTGGAAGGGAGACTGGGCAATCTACTTCTGTAGAGATACTGCCTCGGAAACTCAAGGAGGGGTCACTATGAGTTTAAAAAGGACTTAATGGCAGTGAGGTTTTTTTTTTTTTTTTTTTTTCCCCTTTAATTGATAGTATATCACAAGGAGCTCTGGTGGCTCAATGGTTAAGTGCTTGACTGCTAACCAAAAGGTCAATGGTTTGAACCCACCGCAGCTCTGCAGGAGAAAAGACCTGTGATCTGTTGCCATAAAGATTACAGCCTGGAAAACCCTACGGGCAATTCTACTCTATCCTATAGTGTCACTATGATTCAGAATTGACTGGATGGCACAAAACCTGGTACATCATGAATGGAAAATATTTACGCTCATTGGGTATTTGAAAATTTGAATGAGTGTTCTTCTGCTCTTAGTTATTGTGATTTTTCACTCTGATGCTTGTGAGGCTCTACTTCCCTTATTTGTCTATCAAAGAATGTTCTTCTGCAGCACTGTGCACATTCCTCTGTTAAGATTACCAGGCCTGGCCACCCAAACACATTTGGTCTGGGTTTAGTGAAACAGAATGTGTGAGTCTTGCAGGATGCATCCGTCCCTAATTAAAATCAGAGGTGGGGGCAGAGTTCCTCCTTTCCTTTAAGAATTGGCACATTGGTTGGTCTCTAGGCAGGAAGAGGAGGCATGGGAGCAGAGCCAGTTTTGCTAACATGCTTCAGGTGTGAGCACTGCCTTCCAGGCCACCAGATGTCAGCACAGAGGGGAGGGAGCTGTGAGTGGCACAGTGAGGGGATGAGAAACAACTGAAGCCTCAGTGTCACGCCAGTAGGGCAGAGACAGGGTCCAAAGTGTCATTTTCCTCTCCCTTCCCAAGCCCACCCCTGGAGTTTCTGTGGCAGCCTCTTAACAGGGTAACGGAGATGAAGGCTGTGATATGATGTGACACTTGAGCCACCTCCAGCAGCATTTGGCGAAGGGAAGTGGAGAATGGGTCTGTGGTGAATGAGAAAACTTGGACAGTTGTGCTCACGACTGTGGTTACACAGGAATCACTTCAGTTGTGAAAACAGCCTTTTTTTCTGGGAGATTCAGGGTGGTCCCTTTTCAAAGGGAGAGTGAGGGTTACTTTGTGTTGCATGAGCCTGATTCAGACCAGTCAATCCTGTTGTCGATGCTCCCTTCACTAACATTCACCAACTCAATCCCTGGTCAGGGTCATCAAATGGAGGCCTCTTCCATTCATGTTGCACAGATTCAAATGTGATAGCCACAGCAGGCACAGCTAACACTTGCAGAGCCCTTGCTAAGAGCCAGGTGGAGTCTCTCGATTGTGCAAATAGTTAAGTGCTTGGCTAGTAAATGAAAGGTTGGTGGTGCAATCCACCTGGAAGTGACCCAGAAGAAAGGCCTGGCAATCTACTTTCAAAAGATTACAGACATGGAAACTCCACATAGCATAGTTGTACTCTGACACATGTAGGGTAGCTATGAATTGGAAATGACTCAAGGACAACTGGTTTGTGTTTTTAGTTTTGGTATGCCAGGCTAAGTATTTTACACATTTTAACTCATTTAATCCTAAAAGCCCCACGAGGCAAGTACTTTTTATCCCCATTTTACAGGTAAAAAAAACTGAGAGGCAAGAGGAGGCCAGAAGGTGGCCTAAGGTCACCCAGCTAGTAAGCCACAGAGCAGGGTTGGAACACAGGTCATCCAGCCCCAGACCTCTGCTTGTAACCACTTCCCTGCACTGCTCTCAGGATGCGGAAGTAGTGGAAGGGACAGAAACCATCTCTTCCTATTCTTACCCCTGTCAAAGGGAAAGAACCACTGGCCTAGAATCCCAGAACCCTCTATGCGACCCATTTCTGTCACTGTGGTAAAGATGCATTTCTGCTCAGACCATGGCAGATCAAAGTGTCTGCTGGCTGGGAGGCTGGGCCACTCTGTGCTTTCCTGTGGGCTGGAGGGGACAGAGCATCATGGAATGTTGTTTCTGGAAGGCAAAATCTCCAAAATCGTGGTTTCATGGCCTCGGTTAACAGATAAGGAAGCAGAGGCCCTTTAATTCAATTACTTTTCCAGGGTCATGTGGTTGTTGCTGGCAGGGCTGGCACTCAGCTAAGGAATCCTTTGGCAAGATGCCCTTGATGAATACTCATTGGTCCATGGCTTTGCCCCTAGCTCTGCATCCTCACAGCTGTGCCAATTTGGGTACTCCAGGGCCTCAGTTTCCTCATCAGTAAAATTAGAACATTGGGCTACATGATCACTGTCATTGGTTACTAATCCCACACTTCTGGTACTAGCAGCACATTTCCATTATAGCACGGAGTCATCTAATCTCACATTATGTAGATAAGCAATTGCTGACCACCACGTGTCCTCTCCCCACCCCAACTTGGTTTTAACTGTCCTCTTTGCTCAAAATCAAGGGAAGCAATGTTTTCTTCTGCATTATGCAAGACTGCTCTAGGCTCCCATCTCTGCTCCAACTAG